TTAGCTATAAAAATAATATAAAGAAATATAATAGGAACTTTAATTTATTAAAGAATAAATATCTACTTACTATAATTAGAAAAAATCATAAGGACTAATCTTTTAAGAGGGAGATATAGTTTACTATATATAACGAAATATTAAAATAAAACAACTAAGTAATAAATTAGATTTTAAGAAACCTAAACTATTTAAGGTTAAGAAAACTATTTTAAAAGTTAACTATAAACTTTCGTTACTAATAATAATATAGATATACCTAATATTTTACTTCTTATTATTAAAACTAGCGCTATAAAACGCTAAGCTATAGGAAAAAATTAAGGTTAACGACGATTAAAAATATAAAGTAAAATAAAAAAATAGATAAGAAAATAAGGTTAGTAATAAGAATACCTTATTAAGTAAAAGGGGTATAGACTAAAGGAAAATACCTAGGAACTACTTAAGTACTTAACTTACTATAGCTCTTTACTTCGATAATTTTACTAAAAGGTTTAAGAGGGATTAAAGGACTAAGATCTATAAACTCCTTACTAATACTAAATAAGGACTAATTTACCTCGTTAAAAACGCTTAACGATTATAAGTTATTTACTACCTAATACTTATATATATTAAGCGTAGGTAAAACGCTATCCTTAGTATCTACTTCTTAGATATTATAATAAAATAACTTAGAACTCTTTTCTTTTATATAATTCCGAATCTTCTAAATATAAGCGAAATAATTAATAGCGATAGATATTTATAACTAAAGGTTTATAAGCTATACCTAAAGCTTTAATAAGGCTTCCTTAGCTTCCTTCTCTTTAAAATATAGCTTATATTACTCCGCTAATAATTTAGTTACTATAAGAAATATATTAGCTACTATATATAAAAAGAATTAAAAGATACTTATAAGAAGAGGCTACTAAAATACTATTATAATAGGGACGACTACTAGTAATATAATTATTATACCGCGAATATTTTTAGTTATTTAATAATTCGTTTTCTTTACTTTAAAGTATTAAGTATATAGTATATTAGTAGGATCTCTACTTAAGTCGATATATTTAGTAAGAGTAGCGTACTTAAAGGCTTTTTAAGAACGACTTCTTAGTATATAACTAGATATACTATTAGTAGTATATCCTAAAAAGATAAAGAAATAAAGAACGATATACCTATATATAACTTAATAAAGGTATATTTATATATAGTAGCTAAGGTAGCTATAGTAGGTCTTATAGATAAGATAAAAAAGAGGCAAGATATTATATTATAACTATAGCTACTAGGCCGCTAATAGGCGACCGTATTAAGTATATAATATAGTTTAATAGATAAATAGTTAGTATAACTATTTAATAGATATAAGATTAAAGGGATTATAAAGATCTAAGTAATCTAAGATTAATAAGATTACTATGCTTTATATAATCTAACGTTAAGGATTATAGCTAGGCCTATAATCTAAGGATAGTTTTTATAAGTATATATAGCTACTTACTTTTACTCCTTTAAATAGATAGCTTAATAGCTTTTAATATAATTATTATAATTTCTATTACGATCTTATCTTTAATTTTAATTACTTAATTACCTAGTTATAGTTTATAGTTTATAAGCTCTAAATTATTACTAATATAATATACTTATAATTACTTAGACTACGCCCTATTATATTTATTAATATAAACCCCTTAATAGGTTTATCTATTAAGAATAATACTAGTCGTTATATCCTTAGGAATAAAATAATAAGGCTAGGGCTAGGTCTACTATAAGTATTAAAATATAGGTTAGATAGGTATAAGGCTAATAGGGCTATTAATAGTAGCTTTATTTTACCCCTTTACTTACTTTAAGGGCTAGTTAAGCTAGAAGTAGCTAGCGTAAGGTAGGGCTAAGCTAGACTTAAAACGGCTAGTCTTTAGTATAAGCTAGGTATTATCTTTTATCTTAATATCCTTTAGGTTCTAGTCTTAGGTCCGAAGCCTTTCTTTTAAGGTTCTTTAAAGGTATTAGCCTTTTAAAGCTTCTTTTAAGTAGGCCCTATATAAGGGAATATATATTACGGTATAATTAGTTAGGTAGTAGAGATAGCTAAAGGCACTATATTATATATATTATATTATCCTTATTATAAGACTAAAGCTTATAAGAAGAAAGATTTCTTTTCTTTAGAGTAGTAAGTATTCTATAATATATAAGCGGGGTAGGTATAATTCCTTACTAATACCCTACTAATATATTAGTATTATATACCTAAGTGCTTTACTAGCTTATACCTCTTAGTAGTACTTTTATAATTATCTCCCCTTTTATATAAACGTCTTAGCTATATCTTTAATATATATTACTTTTACTATACTATATATATTTAGTTAAGAAGAAAGGTAGTTTTAGTTATATATCGCGCGTATACGCTTATATAAGTATACGTTAGTCTATACTCTATAACGTTAATAGTTATTATATTAGTAGTTATTACTAAGTAACTATTATAGTATCGCTTATATATTAGCTATATAACTATAATATAAAGAGTATATATATATATATCTTACTTCTTTTCTTTTCATTTCTTTTTTAACTCTTCTACTTATAATTACTATAGAGTTTTACGCCTTTTTTTATTAATCCCTTATACCTTTTTATAAACGATTTATAAATAATAATACCTTTTATATTAAAGAAGATAAAGAACTATAACGCTAATTTCCTATAGTATATATAGGAGTAGGTAGTAGCGGGCTCGCCTTTAAAGTATAAGCGGTTAGCTTAAAAGTCTTACGATAACGTTAGTTCCCCCTTAGTAAAGAAAGCTAAGAAAGGTATAAGGGAATCCTAGTCCTAGGAGACTTTTAGTCTAGGACCTAATATTAGCGAGGGTTATACCCCTATTACCCTACTAAATACCTTAACTCTAACTACCGATACGCCTACCTTTATAGGCTAGGAAACTTATAAGTCTATTACCTTTATTAGCGATATTAATACTAGCAAGGAAATTATACGCTTACTAGCCCGAAGCTATATTAGCTATAACCTTAAGGGGCAGGCTATAGCTAAGGGGGTATATCGCGAAGCGTGGCTTAATTTTATAGTTCTTAGAGATATCCCTTAGTAAGAGGGACTAAGGAAGCTAAAAACACCTAGTATAGAAGAAGAAAGAAGGAGCTAAAAAGAGGTATAGAAAGGAAGGTAGGGGTATAAGGGGAAGTATAAGTAGCGATAGCTTCCTATAGAGGTAGCGAGAGATAAGACGGATATGCTAGTAACGGCTAAAAAGGAGGGGAAAACTAGTAAAAGGCTCGGTAGTTAAAAGGATATTAGTAGCTTCTTTAAGCAGGATCTTCTTTATTAAGTAAGATGCTAGACGGGTATAAAGAGGGGCGTTAGATAAAGGAAAGAAGGATAATTAAGGTAATATAATAATTATTCCCCTGCCGTAATTGCCGCCCCTATAAGAATTAAATCTCTCTGCCCTACCTATCTAACTCCTTACTTTTAATTTTACCTTCGTGCATTTTTATATACTTCTCGTATCTCTCTTTACGAGACTTATAAGCTACTATATTATATATAAATACTACTTAAGAGCACTTAAAAAAATAGTAATTAATCGGTTAATATAAAACTAAATAATATACTATAAGTATATATTAATATAAATATATATTTAAAACTTAAAATTCTTTAGTTTCTTACTTAAAGTTCCCTTCTTAAAAATATTAAACTTCCTTAAAGAGAATTAACTAATAGAAATTATAAAGGTAATTTTATAAAACTAAGATATTTCCTCTTTTTATATATAGTAGTAAAAGTAGCCTCCTTTAAAGCTTTAAATTATAAAAGACTCTTAAAGGTCTTTTTTAAGGATTATAATTAGAACCTAAAGGGTAGTATCTCTTTCTTTACTTATATAAAAATATATTTCTATCTTATTCTCTTAGTATATATTTTAAATTATAAAAGGAGATACTTAAAGCCTATCTTAATACTAAATATCTTAAAGGATAAAAGGGTTAGTAAATCTATAGGTATAATAGTAAAAGTATATATATTAAATAAGCTAGTTTAATACTTTAGTATATTACTATTAAGTAAGGCCCTATAATATTAGAGATATCTTAAGGGTTTATAGACTAATACTTTAACTCCTTTATATAAAAAGTATTTAATTAACTTAGTAAAGAATCTCTTAGTTTAGCGCCTTAATAGTATAAATTTTAGTAATATCCTTAAGTAATAACTTAAGATTAACCTACCGCGATAGTCCCTAAGTAAAAAGCTAGCGCTAAAGAGTCTATAAGCTAATAGATTAATACCCTTAAGCGATAAGGCGCTTATTTATATATTAAATAATAATCTAGTTAAAATACCCTTAATAAAAAGAAGAAAGAATTACGTCTTATATATACTTAAGGTCTTTTATTAGTCGTATTATAAAGAGTAGAGACTAAGTATATAATCTTAATTAAAGATATTTTTATAAATAAAGTAGTATAGTAATTTAGTAGGTTTAGGTTTTAGTATACTTTACGGACCTTAGCTAATATGCCACCGTATATTATTTGCTCTTAGCGAGTGCCATGTTTATTCCCGAAAGCCGACGTAGAGTATATTAACGCATATGCTAAAGGCTCGAGAAAGATGCTCACGTACCTGTTGTCTTATTTTACTCTGCTAATTATTTATGATTGGGAAAGGTCTGGCGGGCCGTGGACAAGAGGTTTCGCCCTGGTCCGGCGAACTCATGGTCCAACGGACAGACCCGAGGCAAGCCCTTTTGAGCATGGGAACAAGTACTTCGTGGCAAGTGGCCGGGGTTATGCCCGGATCGACGAGCCTTCTGAGCCATCAAATGCAAGAGGGTTCAATGCCACAAGAGGGTTCAAGGCACCGAGTGTCCGCTGTACATGAATCTAGGCGACGCCAGAAGCACACGTGGCTAAATGGGTATTTCTATATTCTGCATACACTGAAAGCTTTCGTCCTATACATCATTAAACGGCAAAGCCGCCCGAGTTCTTCTGTCTCGGATCCCCTGCTGCTTCAAACGTGCCGTTTGGAAGCAGTCGCAAGCCCTGAGCGGCGCTCTGTCCCGGCGCAACCCACGTCACGTTATGGTGGAGTGACTTTAAGAACGCGACAGTCGAGTTATCAAATGCATACTCAAACGTCACTAGATTGGGGATGAGCTGGTCGTGTATTCGGGGTTGTGCGAGAGCCTCGGCCGTGGTCATTTTGCCGTCCAGCGCGTGAATCACGCACTGGATCGTGGCAGTGGTGATGCGGCTGCCGCCTGCTGCGCCGATGGAGAAGAACAGCTTGCCGTCGGGCGATTCGACGATGATGGGCGAAATGGACGACAGGGGCCGCTTGCCTGGGCGGATGAAATTGGACGGGCTCGGGGCGTAGCCGAATGGATTGCTTATGTTGGGGACGCTAAAGTCGCTCATTTCATTGTTCATGATAACGCCCGTCTCAGGGACCATAATGCGGGATCCGAAGAGCAGGTTAACGGTGGTGGTCAGCGATACCGACATGCCGCTTGCATCGGCAGCCACAATATGCGACGTGCCTGGTGTGTTGAGGGACTCGATGCCCTCGGGATCATAGTACGCAACGTCTTGGGTGGTAAAGTCGGAGATTTTGGCCCGAGTGTGCTCTCCTGTCTCAGGGGAAACCATTATCTCCGTGTACTCGGCAAGCCTATCCACGAAAGACGGGTCGCCTAGGACGGTTCGCTGTCCGTAAGCAAACCGCATGGCCTCGTCGAGACGGTGGGTCGACAAGTTGGCCTGGGAGGGGTCGTTGAAGCCATCGTAGCCGCTGACGACGTTGAGAGCACTAAGGGCGACGACACCGCTAGACGGCGCGCTGGTGCTCGTCAGCTTGTAGCCCCGGTAGTTGATAGCCGCGGGCTTTCTCAGTGTGATGGTATAGTTTTTGAGATCCTCCAGCGTCATGGTGCCATTGGCGTCTTGAAGAGCGGCAATAGTTGCTTTCGCAAGAGGTCCCGTGTAAAAGGCTTCAGCACCTCGTTCGGCGATGGTTTCAAGCGTGTCGGCGTACCGTCTCCGGGTCATGGTCTCTCCTAGCTGGACGCGGCGGCCGCGGGGGGCAAAGTCGATTGCCCACGCCGGGTCATCAGTGAAGAAGCTGTTGGGCGACACGGAGTCCATGTACCTCACCAGATCCTCTCTCACGGTGAAGCCGTCCCGGGCGAGCCTGATGGCCGGGGCCATGACATGGGCCCACGACAGCTTACCATATCGTTCGTGGACATACTCGGTCCCTCTCAGCTCACCGGGGACACCACTGGAGCCCGACGAATTGCCAGTCAGCCGGGCCGGCCGTGCCAGCGAGGGAGGAATCAAAGGGGCGCGCAGAGAGGAAACCAAGTACCTGGCAAGACCGCCAAACATGCTGGCGTCGGTGTTATTGTGAAACATGTCTTCAAAGGCCGCGGCTGGCGCCGTCTCCCGGAAGTCGACGAACTCATAGGTGCCATTGCTGGTGCGCACCAGCATGAAGCCGCCGCCGCCGATGCCGCTGTGATACATGCCGATGACGCCCACACAGAAGACGGTGCCGACAAGGGCATCGACGGCATTGCCCCCGTCCTCGAGCAGGTTGGTCCCGATCCTGCTGCAGACATCGCTCTCGGAAGCAACGGCCCCCAGCTTTGGCGCGCCGCTGCCGGGATAAGTTGGCTGGGACCAAGCCGCCGTCGGGAACAGGGCGGCCCCGAGGAGCACCGTCCGCTTGAGGGAGAGGAATGCCATTGTCGGCGAGGATGACGATTGCTTCAACGTTTCGGCCTGCGGATGGATGAAAGGGGAATTGCACCAGAATGTCTGACAGCGAGGAACCGAAGCCAGGGGTCCCCTCGCGATGCGCCGACGGCATTTTATCAACAATGTCGATCGCTTTCACCGACGAAGCAGGCTGTTGCACCCAACCGACGAATCCGGACTGGACGACTAATACCAAGCGCTGACATGCGTCACGCCATTTGCAACCCGAATCACCATTGTTTTATTATTATTACTATTATCTGTATTATCTTTCGTCCCACGGATTCAAGCTGCACTATTGGGCCAATTGCCGACAGGGGGTGAGACGGGGGTTGAGAGATGCAGGACCTCTTGTCAGCCCGTTTGTGCCGAGTAGCCCGGGAAGCAATTGCTAGTTTCTGTCTAGTTCATAAAAGAGGGCGATAATTCGCGCAGGAACAAAGTGCACGTTGCATCAAGATAATGGATGCAGCCCGTCCATGTGGGAGCTGTGTAGCCGGGAGAGCAATGCGGGGAGCGGCCGTCTTCGGCCCCTTTGTTGGATGGCAACATTCTTATCTTCTTTGACAAGTGAGGTCCTACAACCGTATTAAGAAAGGGAATCAAAATGTAGCATTTGCCCTTTTCCATAAATGTATTTCAACGTGGGCGTGCCGACTTCATCGAGAGTCAGGTAGCTCTGGTAGTTAATTAGCCAGCCGTTGGTAGAGCTGAAGACGACTCAGCAGTCAGCACAGTTGAAGCTCACTTCATGTCGAACACGTTGGTTGTGCCCTTGCCGTCTTCAAGATCGATGGGCCAATGGCGGTCTTGCGTCGTCTGGGACCCGGCCAACGCCACGGCGTCACAGCAAGCGCCAAGGACACTTTGTCGCTGGCACTACAGACGGCCATGTTTGTGCAACGTGCTCTAGGTTGTCTTCTGAGAATTGGCGAGCATCAAGCGCATCCTCACCATGGAGACCTCGCGCGGTTGGGGTATTTCAGACTGCCTGCTTATACAAGACACTGAGCTGATGAACGCCGCTGCCAGATCAGATGAGCAAGGGTAAAGTTGGATATGGTAACCGATGGCCGGCCAGCGACAGAAGCACAGATGTCGGATGAGAAGAAAAAAGCCCAGTAGACGGAATCAACTCGTGCCAAATATATAAGCCATATCCCAGTCCGACGCGCCTCGTTTCATCAGCTGGGCAACCAGATTCGGGCAAAGACACACCTTGACGCCCTTGTCAATGCCAACGAGCCCGGTTCGCTCGGTCGTACTCTTCCTCTGAATACCCATCCCACTGCATCCGCAGACTGCGAGCATCCCTGCTGCTCCTCGTCCCCTGACCAGGAAGCCGTTCACCCTCGAACCTGAGACCCCGGTAGTCAAACCATCCCTCAATCCGACCACCACCTAGAAACTTGATCCAGCCCTGGTGGTGGTCGCCGTACATAATGGGGCCATCGGATTCCCTTCCACGCCATTTGAACTCATAGTAATCATCTGATGACTGCCAAGGTCGCTCGTCAATGAATAGCACGCCCTCGATGATGCCTAAATCGAAACTTCCCCAGAGAGCCGAGCCGGCAAGGGTGAGCGTCATTTCGAAGTCGGAACCGTAACAGTTCCACTGGGAGGTGACAAAAGGGCAATCGATGTTGTAATCGCCATTGATGAGGCCGAGAGAGTCTAAGCCAGCTCCCGGCTGATCGTCCTCTTCAAACTCGGAGTAAGGCGGGGGAGGCTGGTTGTAGCTAGGACCGCCGCGATCATCCAAGTCGCTGTATCCTTCAGAGTTGCTGTGACCATCCGAGTCGTACTCGTCTTCACTGATCCACTGGGCCTGTGCTGGAGGGGGAGGTATTCGACCTCGAGCCATGAATGCCCCGCTGCGTCGTGCGGTCTGCTTGGGACGGGAGGCTGGGGCTGGAGCTGGAGAGGGGGGATTAGGAGCAGGGATCCGACCTCGTGCCATGAACGCTCCGCTGCGTCGTGCGGTTAGCTTGGTGCGAGGGGCTTGAGCCGGAGAAGCGGCATCCTGCGTTGCGTGGAGGCTTGTTCCCTGTGAGATGCCACCGCGACGGGCTGTCTGCTTCTTTGCTGGCGCCGGGGAAGGGGCAGCTTGGGTTGCGCGGACGCTGGATCCCGGGGCAATGCCGCCGCGGCGAGCCGTCTGCTTTTTCGCCGGGCCGGCTGTGGTGACTGTTGTAAGTCAGCCCACCTAAAGTCCGGCACACCCCAACACCGGCACTCTCCACAACACCAAGGCAGGCACATTCCAACAGTAATTAAAGCCGCATTTCAACGTTACGATAGTTAATTATAGTGTTTTCTAGCTATTTAAGCTGCCAGCTACTATATAGAGCTTTAAAATCTGCGTCCTAACTAGCTGCGGCAATAGTAGCCGGCTCGAGGATGCGCTCGAGCCGCTGCCTCGTCTTAATAACTTAATTAATCCATACGAACCGGCTATTAGGATCCTATAGAACCTTTTTCTGTTTTCGAGGCCGTAGACGATATAATTAATGCTTAAGCTATTATATTCGAAGCTAGGTAGCTATAAGCTGCTAATTTTAATTATTAAAGGCGCGGCTAACTTTGCTAAAGAGTAGTCGGATTATATAGTTAACTTAACCGCGATTTTCTAGCCCTATAACGAGGCGGCGAACTTCTTATAATCGTTTAGGCGTTTTAAGGGCATTGTTATTAGCTAAGGAGCTAATATTCTTCTTTTTTAATAGCGTTAACGGCGTTAACGGCTACGGTAAGATAAAGCGGCTTAATAAGGGCTTTACTATATTAATTAGCTATAAACTAGACCCGCGCTAACCTCCCTTAATATTTTTTTTTAGTTAGGCTAGCCTACCGGGCTTTATAGTAGATATAAAGGAAGGTAGCTATACTAATTAGCGCTATATCGTTAAAAGATATAATTTTCTTAAGTTAACGTTAATATACGGCCTTAATAGGCGAGAAAACTAAGATATTAAGTAGTTAGAGGATATATAAGGAGTATAATAGTAGGAAAAGGAGATATATACTATTTTAGAAGTATTTATATATAAAATTATTAGGCTTATAACTCCTATAGCCGTTAATAATAAGAAGAGTATTACCTTACTTATAGTACCTTTTTTTATTATTACTACTTATATATAGCCTCTAAGGCTATAGCGAGGCTAGTAAGGGCCTAGGCCCCTATTAGTAGTCCTAGCTAGCTATAAAGCCTAGGGGCTTATAACTAATTAGGGAAAGGGTAGCTTAAAGGTAATAATAAAGGAAAGGTTAGTTTAGTTCCTCCTACGCGGTAATTTTCCCCCCTAAGAGCCCTAGGGCCCCTAGGTTACTCCTTTTCGAGCTACTTAGCTATCCCTATCTTTATTTAGCTAAGAATGTTAGAAGGGCTTCCCTTCTACCCTTAGAGCTATAGAGAATAAGTAGGCTAAGGGCCCCCTTCTATCTCTTAAAGGTCTAGTAAAGGACCTCTCTTTCCCTCCTATAGTTCGGGCACCTTAGGATAAGGTGCCTAGCTATATACCTTCCTTAGCTATAGCGGTAGTTATCTCGGTCTACCTTATTAGTCCTTTTTAGGAAGGAAAATAAGAAGCTAGCCCTATAAATGAGCTAGTAGAAAGCTAAGAGGGTCGGCCTAGGCCTCTCTATAAGGTCCTTTTCTAGGCTAAGGGCTAGGCGGGGGGTCTTTTAAATAGATATATAGTACTTACTTAGGCTCTTAGCCCTAGGGCCTTTAGCCGCTTTAGTAGCTTAGAGTCCCTTTTAATAGTCCTTAGTAGCTTACCGGACCTTTCTTTATAAGTAGCTAATAAAGACTAAGGGGGTCCCTTAGGTAGGGGCCCTTAAGCCTCTTTTAGCTAGCTAGTTAGCTAGCTTATTACTAAAGATCCTTAGGTAGCTAGGGCACTAGTATAGCTATACGTTATTAAAGGCTTCTAAGCTAAATAAGAGCCTTTTAATATATATAGCTAGGTCTAAGAAACCTATAACCTTCTTTATAGTAGCTTAGCTATTTATAAAGATATAGGTATTTATAAGGGGGTTAAGAGGGCTAAGCTTTAAGGGCCGAGGCCTCTTAGCTAGGTCCTCTAAGACCCTTAGTATTATAAATAGCTTTACGTTAGCTACTTCGATCGAGGGCCCTAGGTTCTTATAGTACGCCTTAATAGGCTTTTTTTCTAGGCCTAGTTTATAAAAGGAGTAAGCGTTAGTCTCTATAAGGGACCCTTTAAGGCACCCCTTAAAGCCGTTAGTATAAAAGGCTAGGGGCTATAACCTAAAGTCTTCTAGGCTAGCTAAGCTAGCTAAGAAGCGTTAATATTACTTCTTAGCTAAGGGCTTAAGGGTCTTTATTATTATAATAAAGGCCTTAGGCTCTAGGGCCTATAAGGGCTCCTAGCTAGCTTTCCTTCCTTCTAAGTTATAATTAGGTCTTATAAGGGCTACTAGGCCTTTAAGGAGGTAAAAGAGCTATATATATAGCTTAATATAGCTTAAGGCCCTTAAGTTAGAGCCTAAGTTAGCGAGGTTATCCTATATAGCTAGGTTATAAGCCTATCTTATAAGGTAACTAAGTAAGAAGTATAAGGTCTAGAAGGTATAAGAGAGGCATGCCCTTTTAAATCGTACCTTTAGTAGTAGTAGGGCCGCTTTAGCTTTTAAAGCCTTAATATAAGATCCTTTAAAGGCCCCTAAGACTTTTAAGAGAGCTTAGTTTTATAGCCTTTAAAATAGCTTTATAAAGCTCTTAGGGGTCTTAGGCCCCCTATACTAAAGCTAGGCCCTATAGTTTATTATAAAGGTTACGTAGGCCTAGTAGAGCTATTTAGAGGCTCTAAATAATAAGCCTTTTTATATAGAGGTTAGGTAGGATAGTCCTTCGAAGGTAGCTTATATAGAGGCTACCTTCTTCTTAATATATTATTTAAATAAGAGCCTAGAATTAAAGAAGACCCTTAGCTACTATACTAAGGGCTTTACCTTAAATAATAAGCCTCTTACTATTATACCTTTTAAAATAGGCTGCTATTACTTACTAAAGTAAATAAGTTCTATCTTTAAGGGGTCGAAGTAGACCCCTTAGTCTTTAGCTTATTTAAATAGGTTAGTAGCTGTTACTTCTAGCTATCGAACGTTCTTCTTAGCTAAGGTCGACGTTATAAAGATACTAAAGTTATCTATATAAGATAGCTAGTATCCCTTAGCTACTAATATCCCCCTTATATATAAAAGGAATAGAATAAAGCTAATAAGGGACCTTTAAAGCACCCTTATTACTAGGTCTATAAGGGGCTAGACTTACCCTTTAAAGGCTAGCTAGATCTTCCTTTAGTAAGAAAGTAGTCTACTTAGCTTATAAGGGCCTTAAGAAGGTTTAATTCCCTTAGGACCCTTATAAGCTATTCCTTTAATATAAAATCGAAGGCGCCCTTTATATCTAATAAGAGGGTACTAGTAATAGCCTTTTTATTAAACTCCCGCTTCTTTTAAATATAGTATAGAAGGAGGAAGGCTATATTTATAGCTAACTACTATTTTCGTCCCCCTAGCTATATAGGGTTTAGAAGCCCGGCCGTATTAGCTATATAGCTTAGCTAGGTAGTATATAGCTTTTTAAGGACCTTTCCTCTTAAGGTATATAAGTAAAAGCGGAATTTTAGGAAATCAAGGAATTATATAAGACTATATAATAAAAGGGAAGAAGGAGTATAAGGTAGGATCTTTAATAGAATTTATTAGTAGTATATTAGTATATAGAAGAGGTATTAAAGGTAATAATTCTATCTCTATCTACTAGCGGATATACTATCTTATATAGATAAACCTTTAGGGACTAGATTTAGGCTACCGTATAGCCCTAAGACTAAGGAATTCTATAATACCTTAAGTATAGCTAAAAGTATCTTAGTTCTACTAATATTTATATTTAAAGGAGGTTAGTCGTGCTAGTATTCTTAAGAGGTCTTAAGAGGTCTTAGCTAGTATTCTAAGCTAGCTCTATTCCTTCGATTCCTAATTATATAATAACCGGCACCCCGTTTAATATATAATAATATATAAAATAATAAGCGATTCTTACTTTATATAATAGGATTTTATCTATAATTAATATACTACTTATTAGCTTATATAATTATAAGAGTATATTATAGCTACTTTATTTATAATAGGAAAACACCGTTCCTTATATTTCCTAAGTAGTTAAGTAAACTTATAATCTTATAGGCCTTAAGGATAGTATAGTCTAGCTTATTTTACTTAGGAAGTATAATTTCTATAGCTTCTTTCTATACTATAAGGTAGTATCCTTAGTTAAATAAAGCTTTATAGGCCCTATTAAAGACTATAAGGATAGCCTTATATATATATTAAATAGGGAGGAAGCTAAGGGAGTCTAGGCTAAGGGCATTCTTATTAAAAGAGCTAAAAATAGCCCTCTTAATCTTAGGCTCCTTTAGCTCTAACTAGTCTTACTTAACCGTGCCCTTACTACTTATATAGCCTAGGGGCTCTTCTTTTTCTAGGCTCTAAGAGGGGTTAAAGGGAGGGCTAGGGCTAGGGTCTAGGGTTAAAAAAAGGGTTATTAGGAAGGCCTTATATTTTTCTATAAAGGTATTAGCTTTTACCTTTATCCCTTCTTTTATATATAAGATACTAAGAAGGGTAAGGTTAGCTCTAGCCTTAGTATAGGAAAAGGCTATAAAGATATCCTTTCTTACTACTTTTATTAAGAAGCTCTCTTAGTATTACTTTTTAATAGCCTTAATAGTATACTTAAAGCTATTTCGGGCCTTTATAAAGCTCTTTTAGCTCTCCTTATCCTAGGCTAGCCTATAAGCCTATTAGGCTAAGCTTAGGGCTTTC